TAATAAATCATTGTTAAATTTTTTAATGATAATATAAAAATAATTTATTTATATTATTTGTAAATATTAATACAATTAAGAAATATGAATTCATAATATTAGTAGAGAATATTGATAACTTGGAAGAAACAATAAGATAAAACCGTACCACCTGTCAATGAAATAATTTTTAAAATTAGTATTTGAGTATCACCAACGTGAAACATTTTGCTAATTGGCATTAGTTGGGTTTTTTTCAACACAATCAACAACAAGGACCATATTGCTAAAAGGAGGGGAGACTATTCCTGGATCATCAGCAACAAGACTCTTGTTGCTGAAAATAAGGGGCTTACTATTCAATTGATTATCAGCAACATGGCTCTTGTTGCTGAAAGTAGGTGGCTCTAGTTTTCCTTGGATTATTAACAACAAGGATCATGTTGCTGAAAATGATCCTTGTTGTTGAAAATGAGATGCTATATTATTCATAAAGCTATCAGCAACATGTCTTATGTTGCTGAAAATGTGCTAAAATTCAACTCCCAACTTTTGGCAATGATATTTATCGACATGAGTCACGTTGGTGAAAGTATACTTTCACCGACGTGACTTATGTTGCTGAAAAGAGTGCACCAGATGGGGGGAGAATTCCAGTAACTATTTTTGCTGACATGAACTACATTGGTGATATTATAGTTTCAGCAACAAGGAGCATGTTGCTAAAAATGGGGAAAATTTTCGGTGGCTGGTCCGGTGAATTTTTTAACAACATGAAATATGTCGGTAAAACTTCATTTTCAGTAACAAGAGGTATGTTGCTAAAGAAGGTGCCAGGTATCAGCAACATGGACCTTGTTGCTGATACATTACCGAGCATAGCTTCTCCAAGAAAGGCATTAGCAACATGAAGCATGTTGCTAAAGTACTTGAAGCAACATGGGATGCACTTTCACCGATGTGCTCCCATGTTGCTGAAGAATGGAATTTTAGTAGTGTAACAAGAGAATTGTATTACTATAATATTCTCTTGTTATACAATTCTCTTGTTATTTACGTGTTTATTTTTTAATAAGTATTTATTTTTATATAAATTTTATATATTATATTTAAATTTATTTAACTTGCATTCTAATCCCAAGTTAAAAGAGTTTTAGAGTGCATTTGAGATTATAGTTGAAAGTTTTTTCTTATAATTGTATAGTATTTTAAGAGAAATATATGTTTAATAATATTTTTTTGGAATTTTTTTTTTTTATAGTTATAGAAAGTGTAAGGATAGGTCTGATGTTAAGGAGCTTGGACGTACTGCTACATCTCTTTAATGACCGAGATAAGGTGTAAACTCAGCTCTTCCCAATCAAACAGCTATACGATAATTATAGTGGGCATTCTGCACCTAATCCCCTATTCTCGTGATCATCGTCTGAATGGACATGTTAGACTCTGATTATCTCGTTAAACAAGTTACATGGGTACCTCATTAAGACTTATAAATACCTTGAAGGGGCCACCTCAAAAATGTAATTGAAACCGACTTAAAGTTTTTTTTCCATAATTCTGTAAGGTGGATCCGATTATTGCTGATTTAAGCATTAGGGTGTTTACCTCAAAAAATCATCTCAACGCTTTGTAGGTGAGAGAAGACTTGAACCGAAGAAAACTTACTGGTTTGTTGCAATTTCAGAAAATTAAAGTAAATTTATAATAATTTTATTCTTTTTATTAAAGACAAAAGGGATCTATCATCTGTGCTGCTAATTAAATGGTTTGACAGTCTGGGTTATAATTTGGAATGAAGGGATAATAATTCGATGAAGGAACGATCTATTATCTACTTTTAGAGATCTAAGCCAATATAAGGTCGATAGGGCACGTCATTCACCATCTAATTTGGATAGATTTCTGCATTTACAGTAGTTTTATTCGTTTTATTAACGACGAAAGGAATCTGTTCTTTTTTTTTCTTTTGACTTTGGGGGAATTGTTAGGGTTAGAACAAGTAGTGTCTAGATTCCAAGGGCTTCCAGGTTCAGGCACCTTCCCACAAAAGGAGTGGCGAGTAGGGGAACTGTTAGGGTTAGGACAAGTACTCTCTAGATTCGAAGGGCTTCCAGGTTCAAGCACATACCCACAAAAGGAGTGGCGAGTAGGCCACATGGTGCCGGGCGAAGGGGATCTATTCTCTGTGCTGCTAATTAAGTGGTTTGACAGACTGGGTTATAATTTGTACCATTTTCCTACGCCACAAACGTTGGAGAAGCAAATTATTCCATTACACGTCGAAAGTTTTTGGTGGTAGGGACTTTATGTCTGCTGGGTGTAATTGGGGTTTTTTAATAAAAATTTTATGAAAAAAATTATTGTAAAAGTATTAATTTTATAAATAAAAAAATAAAAATAATATGTTAATTTTATTAAAATTTAAATAAAAAAATTCTTACAAAAGTACTGAAATAATGCTTTTAAATTTTATAATTAAATAAATAATTAATTAATTTATAAAAAATTATAATATTTTTATAAATTATAATATTTAATACAACTAAAATTTTTAAAATTTAAAAATATTTTTTACCAACTATACCAAAAATAATTGGTAAGGTTCTTTTTCCCCTACTCCGTGTCAGTATTGCATTGAACTGTACTTAACCGGAAGAAGGAGATCATTACAATTTTTGATATGACATTTCGATTGTTTTATAGCCACAAATCCTTATCCAACATTTCTTGCAATTCGTGTTCAATTTCTCTACAGCATTTCTTCTCTCTGGGGAGGA